TGGTTTTGGTTCCCGTAGCAACCCCAGTCTGTTTCTCAACAGGGGCCTCTAGCCAGGCTCCCGCTGCCTGAGTCACCCCGACCAAGGGTTTTGTTTGTTTCCCTTACATAAACCTGACTCCAGTGTTTAATGGCTCCCCTCAAAGACACACCGCACTTCAACAGAAAGCAGAGAACCCCGCGTGGAATGGCAGGTTCCCAGTCTACACAGAAACAAGATCTGATCTTTCAGGTACCCGTGGCTGTCATCGGCTGTTCCCAGGGGATGGTATATCTTCAAGAAAGTGCAGGGCCACGTCTTTTTTAGATAAATGCTTTATTTTTTTTTTCTCAAGATGTTATAAAATATATTTCTCCTGCATATCTATAGCGTATAGAGCGTTGTAAATTTACCCAGTCATGAATGTAATTTAACATCAATCCATGTCACTAACAGTTCCTTCATTCTCCATCAGTGCTTCTCCTTTCCTTTCTTGATTCTTGCTCTCTTGGTTCTCATCTCCTGCCACCACAAAACGTCACTTCAAAAACCAGACCCAACGGGCTGGTCATCTGGGACAGCCCGCGCCCCTCCCTGTAGAGACAGCCTGAGGCTGTGTTAGTACACCTGATTACTTAGTAAACGTGGCCTGCAAGGAAGCCTGACACCTGCAGGAGGTGAGCACGCGTTTGACAGATGAAGACAAGGCGGGGCTGGTGCATTCCTGACCGCACCATCATCCACTTACTAGTGGTGTCTACGAAAAAACTGGCGTTTCCCAAGAAGGGAAGAACAGGTCCAGGAGGCAGAAAATGTCTCCCTGGGAAGAGTTCCCTAGCTCGAAAAGCTCTGCAGGTCCTGCCTGGGTGAATCCGACAGGGGCTGGGCTGGGCTGGGCTGGGCCAGGCCAGGCCCGACCTATAGATTAGCCTCACCAGGTCTGAGTGCAGCTTGGGCAGAAGGCGCCCAGCCAAGTGCAGTCTAACCACCAGGGGGCACTGGCGTCACAGCTTCTCAAAAGGGAACAGGTGGGAAGCGGCAGCTTTCTTTTCCCTTTTTGTCTTCCTGGGACCCTTTGGCTTCTGTTCCTCTTCGGCTTCTCGGTTTTGAGGCCAGGAGGCAGCTAGAATCCTGGCTGCTTCTGCTTGAGAGCTGGTCCCCTCCTCTTCATCAGAAGAGAGTCCGCCTCCTGTGTGTGGGGCTACGACCTCACTCTGGGCGGGCAAGGAGGGGACAACAGAGGCCAGGTCAGTGATCACAAGTGCCAGCAGGAGGCCAGCAAGCTCCCAGTTGCCCGAGCTGTGTGGCTCTGGGAGGACACAGGCACCAGGTGGGCCCGGAACAGCCCAGACCTTTCCTCCACCCCTGCCTTCCTCAGCCGGGGCAGCAAGCAGGGACTTGGCAAGGAGCTAGGAGCCGAGTACCCGGGGACCAGAGGACATCAGGGCAGTCAGACCCGGCACGGCGGATCAGAGCTTGCACCTCGTCGTTACAGCCCCAGCCCCAGCCCCGGCCCTCAGCGCCAGTCCACCTGAGGCTGCACTCCAAGGGTTGGCTGCAGGGTGGGAGCCCATGGCAGCCAGGAGTCAGAACAGAAAGCCCGAGGAAGGGGCCTCAGAAGGGATTCACGGGAGCTTGACAGAAATATTTTTAAAAGGCAAACAGGAAGCGTGCAGAGCAGGAGGCAGTGAACTGCTTCCCCGAAGGTGTTTCTGCCCTGCTGCACACCGCTCACACTGCGTAACTGCGCTGGGGTCTGTCTGCCCCCACCCCGAAGGTGTTTCTGCCGTGCTGCACACCGCTCACACTGCGTAACTGCGCTGGGGTCTGTCTGCCCCCCAGATGGGAGCCCCTCGAGGGCCGCAGGTCGCATCCACACCTGGGTCCACAGCTGGCCTGACAGGGCAGGGGCTGTCGGAGGTGTCCTGAGGGAACACCTCCAGGCCTGGGGAGGGCGGCAGGCCCCGGGAACCTGGAGGGGCCGGTGGTGTGTGAACACAGACACAGGACACTCGGTCCTCCCTATGTGGACCAGACCCACAGCAGGTGCTCATGCAGACAGGGGTGGGCAAGGGGACCTCGGGACAGGGCTGGGGGCTGAAGAGCCAGCTGTGACTCCTGGACATAGCCAGGGAGACACAGGACTGCAGTGTCTTAACGTAAAGCCACCTGTGACTTGATGTCTGGGCAGAGTCCGGGCCGGAGTTCCCTGAGCTGCAGCTCTGAGAAACAGGCCCACACTGACCTTGGTCCCGTAGCGGAGCTTCAGCCTTTCCCTGATGAGCAGCCCCTTGGTCAGCAGCTTCCAGTTCCCCAGAGCCCGCTTCTCTTTCTTCTGCAAACAAGATGAGTGGGGGGACAATGTTAGGGACCGACGTTTTCGGGAACAAATCTCAAGATGGGACCTGTGAACATACATGTCCTTTTTCTCAAAAAATACACACACACACACACAAACATATAATTTTATGTTAAAAAGTATCATGTTGGGACCAGCAGATGGCATAATGGTTATGTCACTTGACTCCCACATAGTCGACTGCAGTTCGAATCCCGGACCTGGTAGCTTAAAAAAACTCACGCTGGGCGTTTGTGCATGTGTGCCCAAGATCCCAGGAGAATGGAGAAAGGACTGCAGTGTGGCCATCCCCCCTGGGGCCTCTCTAACTGCCCTGACTCTAATATGCTCATTGCAGAAGGCTGTTCAGAACAGAGACCACGGCGATTCCTCTCAAGAGAGAGGCAGACAGGGAAATCAGGTGGAATTGTGGTTAAAGTGCCAGACTCCCACATGGCTGACTGTGGTTCAAGTCCCGGATCTGGAGGCTCGAAACACATGCCAGATGTGTGTGTGTGTGTGTGTGTGTGTGTGTGTGTGTGTGTGTGTGTGTGAACCCGAAGGACAATGGAGGAAAAAGGAATGCAGCATGGTCATCCCTCCTAAAGGGGGATTTCTTACTTTCTATCTTGCTGGCAAGGGCACACGCCCTACAGCAAAAATCTCTAAAAAAAAATAATAAATTAAAAAGAGGCAGGTTTCTCAGTCCCAGATCCAGGCCTGGAGTGAACCGTGAGGAGTGGACAGAGGCCTGTTCTGTTCTAGCCCAGACTCACTCCTGAGGGCGCCTTCTATGAAGGGGGAGCTGGAAAGAGCTTTGGCACATACGCCCTCCCCCTCTTCCTCTCCCTGGGTGCACGGCCCTGGGAGGTCAGAGACCCCCAGCTGTGCGCACCCCTGCTTCTCACTGGGGCCCTGCCCGCACCACTCACCTGCTGGCCCTGGGAGGTCAGAGACCCCCCAGCCGTGTGCACCCCTGCTTCTCACTGGGGCCCTGCCCGCACCACTCACCTGCTGCTCCTTCTTCTCAATGAGCGCCTGCTCGTTCTCCCAGGCGGCCAGGAGGACGTCTCGGAACTCCTCGCAAACGATGTAGCCGTCGGTTCTGTGGGGACACGACACAATGACCTTCCTTGAGCCTGCCACGTGCTCTGGCCTCTGCCCTCCCTGTGCAAAGGACGGTGGGCCACCAGGTAGCACTCCAGGCCGGAAGGATGTTCTGGGTCAGCAGGTGACAGACACCAGCCATGCACAGGGCAGGCCCATGCAAAGGGACACCGCCCCTCCCCGCCAAAGAGGGCTGAGGCGAGAGCCTGGACCCGAGGCTGACAGCTCACAGCTGAGCAGCCGCACAGAGAAGTCTGGCCCTCACCTGTGCCCAGCCCAGGGGACAGTGCTTTAGTCCGGGAGAGCTGCCTCCGGACAGAAGCCAGGGCTGGTGAGGGATTAAGCTGATTTCACGGGGCCAGGGTAAATGGGCCTTGCAGCCCCATGCCAGCTTCATCCCCACCTGTCAGCCCCCAGGCCTCCCTCCCGGCCTCCACTGGAGCCCCTCACGCACACGGGGTGGGAGTAGCCTCCGTGGAAATCGAAGCCCGTGATGGCCTGCACACAGTCGATGTCCAGCTTGCGGGCCACGCGCTGCAGGTTGGGCAGGTTGAGCTGGACGCAGCCGACGGGCATCATGCTGGGCAGGAAGAGGTACACGTTCCCAAACTCGTTCCGCGGCACCTGCGGGCGGGGGCACGCCAGAACGTGGCCAGCTGGAGCACCCCTGCAGCCGGCTGAGCCCTCCCGGGGCTGCTCTTACCTTCCCGCCCACGGCCACGGGGGGCTGGTACTGTTCCGTCTGCCAGTGGCCGAACAGGGCCAGGTCCTGATGGTCCTGCAGCTGGGGCTCGGCAAGGCGGGCCTTCCGCGCCCGGTTGGAAAAGCCCTTCACCATCTGCGCCAGAGGACACAGCGGGTCACGGCCACGTTCCTGGTGCCCGCACTTCCCTCACACCACGCTGCACCTCATTCAACCCTACAGCAAACCAACCAGATGTGCCTGCTTTTTATTTATTTCTTCCATGGGTCAGCGACAGAGAGTAAGAGAGGGGACACCTCAATGGGGCCTTTTTATGGGGAAAAAAAAAAAAATTTAAGAGATTTTTCCTATAGGGTGTGTGCACTTGCCAGAGAGACAGGGACAGAAAGCAAGAAATCATGCCCCACGGGGATGGCCACACCGCAATCCCTTCTCCTCTCTTCTCTCGGGATTTGGGGCACGCACACATGCCTGGCATGTATTTAAACAGCCAGGTCTGGGATTCGAACCGTGGCTGATGACATGGGAATCCAGCAATGTAACCATCACGCCACCTGCTGGTCCTATCAACAGGGTGTTGACACCACAATCCACTCCCAACTCCTGCCAGTGGGATCATGGGCACGTACAGACCCAGCATACTCATGGTGGTCACAGGACACGAACCTGGAACCTTCCGGTGTGGGTCAGTTTCACCTTTTACTGCCACACTGCTCCCCCACCACTGGCTGTGCTTTTCACCCCTTCTAGGACAGCTGGGCCTAGCTGACATCACCAGGGGGCTCACTCCCTTCTAGGCACTGTGCTCAGTGTTTTCGCGTGTTAAAACCTTACTTAATTTTCCTCTTTTTTTTGGAGAGGTTTTTGCTATATGGTGCATGCACTTGCCAGAGAGACAGAGAGAGACAGAGACAGAAAGCGAGAAATCACCCCCGGGGGGATGACCACGCTGCAATCCCTTCTCCTCCATTCTCCTCTCGGGATCTTGTCCTTAGCCCACACCTGCACCTCTCCTCCTCCTCTTTGGCAGCCCTTATCTCCTCAGGGAGAGCCCCGACCACTGCTGGGGTGTGTCCTGGGGTCCCGAGCGCTCACTGCTTTCCAGAGTGGGCGCGGTGCACTCAGGTCACACAGTGGTGGGGACACAGATTCTGTACAGAGACAGACAGCTGTCTGGGGTTAAGTCCGGGTTCTCGGCCTGGCCTCCATGGGGCACTTGGTTGCACGCTGGTTTGCAGAGCTGAAGGCCTCATAGACAGCGGCCCGAGCGTCCCTCAGTGCGGATCTCTGCAAACGCTAGGAAAGCTCACGTGTGGCCTCTGTCACATCTTCTTTATGTGTCTCTTCTATATACCCTTTAAAAAGGTGAAAACCACTCTGACGTTAGACCCTACCCAAACAGGGCACAGGCTGGGTGTGGCCTGCCTGCTGCAGTTAGCAGAGTCCTGGAGCCTATCAGCCCCTGGGGCTAGTTCTGAGGGCCAGCGCTGGTCAGCAACACCTACTGACCATAGACTGCTCAGGGCCGCAGGAGCTTGAAGGACACATGGAGGGCTTGGTCAGGAGAACAGAGATGGTGTCCAGGCCCCGAGGGGCACAGAAGTGTGAGGACACTGCATCTGGGGACCTGGAAGTGGTCTGGTAAGAGGCAGGCAGCAGAGCATCGCTCATGCGCCATGTGACAGGCTGCAGGCGAACACAGGGTGAGGGCAGGCTGTGTGAGGCTGGGCTTCACTGATCCCCGTGACGAGAAGCAGGGAATGGATTCAGCTAGGAAGGGGACTGCCATTACCCAGGGAACAGGTGCTGGAAACAGGAGCTGGGCCACAGGGATCAGGACGAGGATACTTTTTATTTTAGCTTATTTTCTGAGAGAGATTTTTGTTACAGGGCTCATGTGCTTGCCAGAGAAATCACCCCCGGGGGGATGGCCACACTCCAATCCCTTTTCCTCCATTCTCCTCTTGGGATTTTGGGCACACACACCTGGTGTGAGTTTTTCTTTTCTTTTTGGAGAGGTTTTTGCTATAGGGCACATGTGCCCACCAGAAAGACAGAGAGACAGAAAGCGAGAAATCATCTCCCAGCGGGGGATGGCCACGCTGCAGCCCCTTCTCCTCCATTCTCCTCTCGAGATCTTGGGCACACACACACACGCACCCGGCGTGAGTTTAAGCCACTGGGTCCGGGACTCAAACCACAGTATACTACATGGGAGTCCAGAGACATAGCCATTACACCAACTGCTGGTCCCCACCTGGTGTGAGTTTTAAGCTGCCAGGTCTGGGACTTGAACCACGGTCGACTGTGTGGGACTCCAGCAATGTAACCATTATGCCATCTGCTGATCCTAGGCAAGGAAATTTCTGAAGTTCGTTTCTTCCATAACTGGGAGGGGCAGCCCCAACAGGATCCTGATGCTGTGATCAGCCAGCTCGGCCAGCCCTGGATCATGGGTGCACACATGCCTGTATATTTAAGGCGGTCTCGGGACTTGAACTGGGAACCCTCCCATATGAGTTGCCTCATAGTGTGGTGTTTTACTGGTGTGTCTAGCAGAGACACGGGATGAACTCTAGAGCCTGCTGATACGACAGGCACTGCAAGTCACAGACACATAGGATCATGAAGACATATTAATAAAAACTAAAGGGATTTAAAATGCTTCATTAATGGGTATTTCTTACATGTTTATATTTTATATATATTTGAATATGTTTAAGTATGTTCAAATTTCATCTGCTTTTTAAATATACACTAGCTTTACTTCTGGTTAGTATTAGGCTAGTATCATTATTTTACACATTTAAACAATATGCATCATTTAGTGTGTGAAGAGAATTTACCCAACATGAAATACACCTCAAACCGGTCCAGTTTACAATCCTATACACGTTATCGACAGGTAATAAACCATTTCTGTATCTCACAAATGTCTGACTTCTCTATTTTTTTTCTCCCTAATTTCCTT